TATCTCTTTATTTTTATCTTGTAGTTATATTACATTTCGGGAGAAAATGAAAACGAAGATTTAATGTAGAATAAAAGCTACATGAATTTAAAAAAAAAACTACCAATTTGAAAAATATTTTAACAAATTTTGGCATAAAAAAGATAATGCCTCGATAGTTAATTAGGTTACGCTGTTTGATTTTGACTGTAGATATATTTATGAGATCGTACCCTGGTCGCTATATAATGTAACTATTTCTTTGAACTGAAATTAAAGTGCAATTTTATTATCATTATAATGAAATAACCATCAAAAGAGAATCAGTTGTAAGCCATCGTGATAAATGAACTTATTTATTTTATATCTGCTAATCTAACTGCAACGACAAAATCTTACAAATGCATCATCTATATTCAATGTTGAGGATTTCCAGATTGAAAGGCATTTTAAAAGTACAACTGTGCGTATTAGTCACCTAATTATACATTGGTACACATTTCGCCGACAACATCTGCAAATCACATATTTTTCATAATATAAACAGTTTTTTTTTTGAAAATTGATGAAATATGAAATATAAATTGCGTTAGACTTCCAACTCATTTTCCAAAATTTACAATATACTTGTGCTTTTTTTGTAATTTACTGCTCTTGGTTTATATGATTTATTAAAGGTTTTTGGGGAGATTTTAGTTAGATTTAAGACGATGTAGAGACAAACGGTTGGGAAGATAAAAATTCGCTGCTACTGACTTTCTTCATTGATTGATTGATTTTTGCTATTGACTTAACGCCAAGTTGCACTGAAATCATTTGTAACTGAAAAAAAAAATTTGAAATTTGAATTTTGATTGGATTTTCGAATTAGAGTTGAGTAAAAAGTGTAATTCATTTTCTTTCAATTTTGCAGAACTCATATTATTTATATTGCCTCATTTGTAAATGAACTTTTCTTACACAGTACGAGCAATTAAGCATACAATGTTACATGCAAACTTAAAAATGTCATTAATTTTATATAATTTAGCATACACTGTAACATTCAAACTTGAAAATGTCATTCAATCTTTACACAGAAAGTGACTATGCATCAAAAGTGCAGCAAATGATATAGGTAATTGTATGAAACAAATTACAGACTATATATGTTTTCCAATATTGTTTAAATACATACAAGACTTGAGAAGAAACAGTTGTATTACTTAATAAGGCGTTCTGAAAATGAATTGGTTCTGCCAATTGATGATGGAATCTTATTTCGTTAATCAAATCAATGTATATTGCACAAATTGACTAAAGAAGAAATTGTCAATCAATACAAATAAACATTAAAGAGAAAGACTCAAACAGAAGAGATTTACTGAAGAAGTTTCTAGTTCAAATGTCAATCAAATAAATAATGACGTTGCTGTCTTTAAGCAATCTGAAAATGGGAATGTCAATATAATAAAAATATTATTTCACCGCCAAACACAAGGATTGCATTTGTCTGTCATGTTAAAGGCGTCTTGTTTATGACACCTCAAGTCATTTTATGTGTATTTACATGACTATTTTGACCATGGCAGTTCCTAAAAAATGTTTATTATAAAAACGTGTCATGCTGATTGAAATGATAGTATACGTTTGATTAAACCATATGTCAGTGCCGAATTTCTAACTTTCACAGAGAGAAAAAAGGGGGGGGGGTTAATCTGTCTCCCAACATTAATTGGTAAAATCAATTATTAGTACTAATACTATGTACAGGATCGTCTAGAATAGGCGATATTACGCAGATAAGGTACAAAATTATAAAAGTCTTAAAAGATTTGCACAACAAAGCGTATGCCTTAAGAGAGTGAGAGAAAGAGAGATAGAGAGAACTCAAGAATATCTTGGCTATCCCAATGACATGTAGAGGATGAGGGAATCGCTTCATTTCTGTATTGTTTAATTCTTTAAGGCATTTTTCTCTATTCTGTATACTTTTTGCCCATTATTCTCTATCCTTATATTTTAGCACCTCATTATTCTCTATTCTTTATTTGTTTGGTCCATTTTTCTCTATTCTTTATATTTTTCAATTGCCCATTATTCTCTATTCTGTAAACCCCCATCCACACCCTCATCTATGACTACCATGTTTTGTTGTGTTGCATTTGTCTTGAAACCTGATATTTTTGTCGTAACTATATATTACATGTAATGAGGATTTCATCGGATATCTGGAGTCTGGCATGCTATTACGCAGTACGGACATGTCTACGATTAGAGACTCTGTATTCGGGAATTAATGCATATGTTTCCAAATTTTCCACAGTACATCATTGTTATTTATTTGTTAGAAGTCTTTCTATTATACGAATACGTTCAACTTGCTAATATCTTTGACATTTTGATATTTGTTGATTTGTTTTTAATTAGTCGTGTCTGTGTTTGATTTGGTGCCAGTACTCTGGACAGCTACAACAAGCGTTTTGATCGACTTATACTTTGTTTTGAAATAAATATAACATTGTTGGCAGCATCTTGAAATCAATGAATAATCTTGGATAAAAGAGCCCATTCTTCTTCCTATATTTAACTGCATGACAGTAGACTTTTGTGCAGTTTTGTGCATTGTACCTTATCATCATTATATTTGACAACACCTTGAAAGTAATTATATTTTAATTATGAGTTGAACAATATTTTTTTCTTGACCAAAGTGAAATGTTCTCTTTTGTCAGTATTTAAATGATGTGTTTGTGTTTTGTTTTTTTTTCTTGTTGTTTAATGGCCTTACGTACTACTTAATGGCAGTGGCATATCCAGTGATCCATGTTCGTCGTTCCCTTCTACGTCATTCCGAACTCGAACATTTGTACTGACTTTTTCGTTCTGCATAGATGCATTTCCACACATTTGGTAATTATGTTTTTACATTTTCGTGCAGCTTTGTATCAAATTTGCGCGCATTCATTTTACAGGTAATACAGGTAAATATAAAGACAATTCATAATTGATAAGTCGATAGTTGTTTTATTATATAATTATTGTTAATTTTGAACATATTCATCATTTAAAATTATATATCTTTCATCTTGAATCCTTGAAACATATATTCAGGGATCACGGGAAATCCCGTAACCGCTTAAGATATTTGCAAATATTGCAGAGCGGATTGTATTCTGTTATCAAACTAAGTAGGCTTGATACAAAATCCGTCACTGTTGACAAGTAGAAGTGAGAAAGAGAAAACAGAGAGAGTATCTGATGGAACAATTCCGAAAATACAAGAATGGAGAAGTTGGCAGAATTCATTTTCTTAAAGCGATGGGCTTCAAATATTCAGCATGAACCGACATGTAAAATCGGAACTTTTTACGCTTCAGATTTTTACATTTTCAACTGTATATATTTCAAGGACTTAATATTACTTGAACTTAATATCCTATTCATAACCCATTTCCACCTCTTCTTTGATGAACAAGGGACTTAGACTAACGGAAGGGGTAGTTGTAATTAGTTAAATGCATAAATTAAAGGGTATGATTTACATGTGTTGACCGTTAAAATGAATGCCCGCAAATATAATCAAAAATTGCGCATAAACGTAAAGGTTTTTGTGCGCAAAATGTAATGCACCGAAAAGAGATATGTGGTATACTTCAATGTGATAGGACACCGTCACAGCAAAGAAAATAATGACATCTGCATGAATGTGTCAAGCTTTATATCGCCCAGATGCAGTGAATACATTTAACCAAGACTATCACAGATCCGTTTTTTCACGAGCGATTTATTTTCCCGACATTCGCGAGTAGAAAATAACGCGAATATAAATCGTCGCGAATATGTAAAACTTGGATCTTTCCTTATTTGATTACATCAAGTAAATTTGAAATCGCAAAATTAAATCGCCGCGAAGTTGACTAGAAAGGGGTAAACGTGAAATAAAGTATCCGCAAAAATAAGTTGGTTTACAGTATTCGTTTGTTGATTGGTGTTGAATGACACTTTCAGTGCCCTTGACTATATCATGGAGGTCAGTTTTGTATTAGTGGAGGAAGCCAGAGTACCCGAGTAGGAGCGCCGACCTTCGGTAATGAAATCTGGCAACCTTTGCTACTTAAACTCGGATTCTAACAAATCTTTCAACAATCAAAGTTCGAACTTACAACCTCGGAATTGGCAGGCTAGTGATCACTATATATGAACTACTAAGACTTCATCTACCGATACCCCATCAAAGTTCACCAACATCAACACATTTACATTAAAAAACAGGTATGACCGCTCACCTCTATCCCCCCTCCAGAAAAACACACAAAGGAAACACAAAAAAAAGAAAGAAAAAGGAAACCGAAACAAAAACAAAAAACCAAAACAAACCCTGACGAGGTTCCAGAATTTAACTGGTCGAGCAAACTGAGGAAATTTAACAAAAAATGTATTTAGCAAAAGTCATTTGAATAAGCACGATTAAAGGAATAAAGTCAAGCTATGTAGAAATCGATATGGCATTGAAACATTTTAGCTTTAAGATATTTGTGCACTTATATTGCAATTAGAAAATACATATAATAGAACCCATACTGAGTTCCTCTTCTCTCAGGAAGCTTAGCGAAATCCAGAATAGGGTATATTGTATAAAATGCATGTATCACGAAAACCCAAAAGAAATTTATACCACTTTAACAATTATTCTTTCTTTCAATCATGTTAATACAGAAACCAGCCTTATTCATGTCAATTTGCAGAGACTTGCAATACAATCAAATTTATATTGAAACTTTAATTTGAAATTGTCTTTTCAAAATTTAAATTGCAATCTTAATTCCGCTTTGATTGGGCTGCTTCAAATCTTGCAGTAGCACATCAATTTGATATAATAAGATTTTTTCCACCAGAGAGAAAATTCAATTTGTGTAGAAAAGCCATAAGCAACGTCACAGGCTGACAGATGATTTATTTGTTAATATTTACGAACCGTCAATATCGTATGAGATGATTGCGATAGTGGCTAAATAAGAAATTTTGATGATAAACTGTTGCCGAAGTATTACGTAAATTTTGCTAGAACAGTGGTCACGTTGTTGCTACGATCTTTTGGAATGATGAGAAATATGATGGTAAGAAATAACTAAAGTATATTATAAATTTCGTAACATTTGATTATTTTGTCAAACAATTTACTTTTTTTTTTCTTTATCATAATTGCAAATAGTACATTAATTTTTATTTTTCCTATCGTGGTTTAATAAGGGTTGTTTGATTGATTTAGGTATAATTACAAAAATGTATGTTTTGGTGTCATTCGCTTTTTTATTTTGACATTATATACGTCTGTTATAAAATATGTTGTAGGAACGAATGACGTTAATATTCGCGTTATAATAATTACGGAATAGTAAATGACAGATTCTTTTTGATTTATTTTTAGTTTTTCATTCACAGTGAATTCAAAAGTTTAAATTTAATGTTTATGTCACTCATTTTCAATTATAAAAATTATGACCTCATATTTGTATGCTTCCGTACGAACACGATAGCGCCAACGTTCACAGTCACATGAACATCCACCAAAACATCAAACCTTTACTAACCAGTAGATGTATTCTAAAAAAAAACTTTTCGCCTACACATCAACAGGCTCTCAATGGTTTCAATGAAGGTTTACGCGTCGATGCTTTGATGCTCGGTCAGATCATAAAAGTATTATATTGAATTTAATACTTCAATGGTCGGAACAAACCAAACAATTTAAAATTTCTCCGCCAATTACAAAGTACATTGTATTTCGAATTAAAAGTACGTTCGGTTTGTGTTTTTGTTAGATGCTTTTCTGCTTTGTGTCGATCTGATGAGTTGAGCCTTTTCAACTTATTTTCATAATGTGTTCTTATGTTGTACTGTTTCACCACTGGCCCAGGTTAGGGTGGGTTGGCGCCTTCAAACATGTTTAACCCCGCTACATTCTATATGTGCCTGTCCCAAAGTCAGGCGCCTGTAATTGAGTGGTTGTCGTTTTTTGCTGTTTCTCATATTTGTGTTTCGTTTGTTGTTTTACATAGATTGATCTTGTGTTGTGCCATTACACCACTGGCCCAGGTTAGGGGTTGGGATGGCGCCTTCAAACATGTTTAACCCCGCCAAATTTTATATGTGCTTGTCCCAAGTCAGGAGCCTGTAGTTCAGTGGTTGTCGTACTTATTTTTCGTAAATTAATTGTTATAAATTAGGACGTAAAATTTCTCGATTGAATTGTTTCATGTTTTTCATGTCGCAGCCTTTTATAGCCGACTATACGGTATGTGTTTTTTCATTGTTGAAGGCCGTACTTTTGCCTATAATTGCTTACATCATTTTCATTTGAACTCTGGTGGATAGTTGTCTCATTGACAATCATACCACATCTCCTTATTTTTATACAGATTGGATGATAAGAATCAGAATAGTATTTCCAACTTCCTGCAAACTGCTACCTTGTATGCTTACATAATTCGACTCGGCATGTCGGTGTAGTACAAAATCGGGTATTTACATTCCCATTAACATGCTAGTGTTCTTAATATAATAACTGATGCAGATACCGTATGATTGCCAATGAGAAAATATCCAACATACGGCAAAAGGCAATGGTGCTAACTACTGCAGAGCGCTATGCGGCTTTCAAGAATGAACAAAAGCCATACTATATAGTAAAGCTATAAAAGGCACCGGGCTGACAAAAGCGAGAAAATCAACGTCTAAAACAATAAAATAAGAACAATAAATGCAGACAGTTACCAACGCCAACCAATAAATTTCAGATTCTTAGCTTGGAACATGCACATAAAGGTGATGGGGGGTAAATCAAAATTCGGGTCTTCCGGAAAGGTTTTCGAGGAAAAAGTAAAACAAAACATTCAAATGAAAGAACAAGCATGCGAACCAAAACTATGTACACATATCTAAAAAAATGTTCATAGTTTTGTTCAGCAACACTACATCATATTTATACCACGCATTAAACTTTGGATTTAAAGACAACATGACTGTTTAATGATACTTTATTTCAGGACAGAATATTCATACTAGTTGTAATAAAAATAGCATATTGTAACAGTTTTCAAAAATTCCAAAATCTAATTCCAAATGGGAAAAATGCTCCTAATCCGTGTACTTCCGGTCTTTGGCAAGGCCTCGGACATATTGGTGCTGATGGTGGAGGAGACAGAAATCCTTTTGGTGTCGATTTTAAGAGAGCTGAAATGGTAAGTGTTTTATTTTGCTTTCCAACTGATGAATTTGAATCTAGGTGACATTCTATTTTAAATCAAGTTAATGATGAAATAGATATAATAGTTAACATAAGTGTCATTAAACTTTTCTATAACTGAAGATATATAATTATTTATGTGTTTGCTGTCATCATATATGTGTATTGTACATGTAAGGAGAGGACCTTATACAAGTTGTAATAACTTGTGTCCAATCGATCCTATTGGTTGATTAATGCAATGAAATATTATTAAATTAAAATTAAAATGAAACATTTTAGAAATTCAACTGCTCTCCTAGTTGTGAATTAAGTTGGTAAGTTTTAGTGTCTTTCTAAACTCAGTTTCAGTCCTTGTACGCTCAGTTTCATAGTCCTTGTAAATTACGTATGGACTCACCAAAAAAGTGAGGTCCCGTAGGGGAAACCAATTTCTGAATTCGTCCATTAAACATATTTTTAACGATATTCTACAATGTATAAATGTCACATTACAATATTGTCCATACAAATGATAATACAAAATTTAAATTAGGTATAACTGCCAATATATTGTGTAATGATTTGATGGCACATTTGATTGCTGATTTAAAAAAAAATAGACGACTATATTTACTAGAATAAGCTTTCTAAAGGGTTTGGCGTTATCAAACTAGTTTAACCCCGCCACATTCTATATGTACCTGTCCCTAGTCAGGAGCCTGTAGTTCAGTGGTTGTCTTGTTTCATGTCTGCCTTTTATAGCTGACTATACGGTATGGGTTTTTCTAATTGTTGAAGGACGTACGGTTGCATATACTTGCTTCCATCCACTTCATTTAAACTTTGGTAAATAGTAGTCTCATTGGCAATCATACCACATCTCCGTATTTTTATATTTCTCTCCGTTTTATACAGGAACTTAATGTCAGCATGTAGGGTAGAGCAGTCATGACGATATAAATTACTTCTGTTCTAGTGTGACATGATATTGTTTTGTCTGGCAACACATTTAAAAAAGGCGAGAGCTTGTAATGCACAAGAACGAACGTCATTAGCAATTTTAATGTATAAAACATTTCAATTGACAAACATATCATGTAACACATGTTTATGTGAACTTGTATTCAACAAGATGATATCAAGAAATTATTAAATTGCATAATCTTAACCATGAGTAATTTTCTTATTTATTTAGAACTTGTAAAAATAACACTAACGCCAGCTTATACGCTTTCATATCTTTTTTGTACATTTTGAATATCTTCAATTATACATGCTTGTTGTGAACTAAATCTGTGGGTATTATACATCAATGGGGAACCACCAACAACGCATATTTACAAGAAAGCACATCTAGAAGATAACATAATATCTTCAGCAATATACAGACATCCTTTCAAATCTGAGTCATCTATTGCTACGTCTTCCGATTTTTTTTCACAAATATTTCTTGTATTCTGTCTTGGGTGATAAGTTTTCCCCTCATGTGTTAATCTACCCTGGCTAACACCTTCATCAAAGGGCAGTATGTTTATATTAGTTCTTACCAGGCCAGGATATTATTATCAAACGTCCTGGCCCCTAAGAAAATAAAATGTTCGTCCCCTTACTTTAATATTGACGCTATATACAATCTACCTTCAACACTAAATATTTATTTTTATTATACGTCATGTCAAAATGACAGATTTTGATTGGTTAATACGAGGGAGACAATTTACTCTATCCCATTGCAAATACTGTGTTACCCTTCACGGAGACGCTTGCTCAAGTGTGCGTTTTAATAAATACGGATGATTGTTATGTACAAGACGTCATAGTTTATTACTTTGAATTTGAAATTTAATAGACAGTAATAACAGAACATTCTTTTTTTTTTATTGGATTTGAAATTTAATAGACAGTAATAACAGAACATTCTTAAATAACACATATCTGAGAGGGTGATAGAGCAGATTGTTAACCCTTCGCCTCAGTTGACAATGTTTTCTCGGGGTAACAATCTGCGCTATCTCCCTCTCAGCTATGTGTTATTTATATAATATTACCATGATTACATTGTTTTATATTTATTACGAATGAGAACAACTAGAAATGATTTAAACTCGCGCAAAGTTTTGTACTCGTGTATTCGATGTTGCGGACTCTTATGGTTGATTGATTTAGGTTTCGCTACTCGAAACGATCATAATTACTTGCGATTTAAAAGGATTGGTTTTCCTATACCCAAGAATAAAGACCGAATTCTAATGGACGACTGAATATAAAATTGAGCGTCTACAGTGCATAGAATATTGCTATAAAACATCGTTCGAAGGGTAGTAGAGACATTAACTTTATAACTCCTATAGAAAATGATAGACCAGCAAAACAAATATAATAATTTTTATTTCAACTAAGAGAAATGAAGAAATCTAAACACTCTTCACGTAATTTTAAACAATTCTGACATTTCTGGATTACATAATGTTGTTTGGCTTTAAAAGAAATTGACAATTTACTGAAGAGTTGTTAACGCCAACGTTTTCAATTACATTTGCTGTACATCAAGAGGGCAGAATGACACAAACAGTAAAGCCTAAAATCGTTTGGAAATAACATCTTACACTGAATGACACTGGATACTATTAATTTATCACAGCCGTGCCAAACGTTATCTATAATGTAAATAAAAAGTAGCAGTTTATCTGCAAAATACGTTTTACAGTCATAGAATTTAACTGGAAAATGTATAATTCATGACTGTCTAGTTCGTGTTACCATGTTTACCAAGCAAATGATACATTCAACCTATCAAATACTGTTATATAACAGTTGTATAAACAAGGTTTAGTTAACAATAAATTTTCTGGATCTACTATTATTCAATTCCGAAGGTATTTTAAGTTATTGAAGTTATAGATAAACTGTAAACGATATAGTGAATCTTGTTTTCTCTATTGACATGGTTTTCTACCGTAGATTGTGATATTTTGTGTTTCATTTAAAAGTAAACAGTCCGATATCAAATATAAATTTAAGTAGTACTACTGATATATAAGTACACAATAGCCCGATCCTCACTATAAAACACCACTTTTTAATGCTTGCTAATACCGATATCGATGAGTCGAAGTGTATCATGTGTGTAGCGAAAAGATATAGAACGATTGCATGCAAGTCGTAAATATTTTGTTCTGTAAAAATATGTTGAAATAGGTGTAGCCCCTTATTTACAATAAAACTACTTATTATCCGCTGTGTTTAAACGAATACGATTACAGCGTCTGGATTTGGTGATGTGTATTCATTTCTCTATTTTGTTTTTTAATTTTTTATTTTTAGGCCGTTTTACACTTTTTTGTATTTGTTTCCTTTTTTTCTATTCTCTAGTAGACGTAATAAATGACGTGAAAATAATTCTGCGCATAGAATATGGATTGCGGTAATTTGCTAGTATGATCGGTACTAAAATATAGTTGTCTGAGTCTGCAATTTCTTGAATACAATCCCAAACATATGTTCTGAGCTTTTCAGCGATTTAATTTCATAAATGAAGAAAAACACATAAGTCGACGCTAGAGGCCGTCTTGACCTTGTTGTAGGGTATGAATGATTCGTTTATTGCTGAAGACCCTACATCAACTGTCAAGACGAAGAACAGGAATAAAAGCCCTGTTCATTGATAATTTTCTATGTTTTCTATGTATTGTGTGCGATTTTGTCCCATGTACATTTACTCCATATCCTTTCATTTTCTATATATGCAATTTTCAGTTTTAGATCAAGTCCATGCTTTCTAAAATCCAAATGGACAGCTTTTGATCTATGTTTAAATCCTCAGTTACGAAAAGCACACAAACCAATTCATACCAAACTGCTTTCTTAGATGTTTTGCACGCAACAGGTCTCTGTGTGTTTTTGGTGATTATTAAGTCAAAAGATTAACGTGTTTTATATTAGTAACCGCAGTTCTCTGTTATTATTAAGTGGACGTGGTTACTCTTTGCCGACTAGGCGCATACATCGAGGGTCAGGTGACTGTTCACCACGCAGGGAAAGATGCTTAAACGAAAAATAATATAAAACAATTTATTGTTACACCTGAATGTGACTTTCCTCCGTGTGGTATAGAATCAATGCATCATTTGACCAAAGTTGATTTGCTTGTGAAAATTGATGAGTTTTTTGTGCCAATAGGTTGCTGTCTCATTGACGAATACACTTCTATTACCCACATTTCACATGATATATCAGTTGATTAAAGAAGCCTAACGTAAGAAAGAGTGAGGTTCGAATATGTATGTCCAGGAGATTGATGCGAGGATAATTCTGCTCAGTATACTTAAATGTTTTAATAAAGAGATGAAATACATCTTGGGTGTATCAAAGATAATAAAATCTACGTGAAAATGAAAATGAAATCTTAATGCAGCAAAAACATAATACGTCAACTTTTTAAACATATAAAACTGGAAAATATCACAGAAGAACGTCATGACAGATGTTAATGTTAATTTATAGTGTAAAAGAACGAAGATGATAGATAATAATTAACGCATTAAAATGTCTAAACTTCCACGAATTTAATCCTTTAAATCATTAAAGTTCCATCAAGTTTGTATAAAAAATCATAAATGATACCTAGCAGCTTTTAAGTTAATTCTATTAATTACAGATAGTAGGATATTTTCAGGTTTTAATAGTTTCCCGTGGTGTTTTATTCTGATTTACACAACATTTATGTAGTAAAGGTATCCTGCTCTCTACTAGATTTACATGTTTAAATATAAGATTTTCTATGTGTTCTCGCACGTGTTGTCTTGCATAGATCTTACCTATATCCAGTCATTTCAAGTGCAACTCATTTGTTTTACCAAGCAAGCTCTATGTTATTTCACGCTAAAAATAAGAAACGCCGGTACATGCACCTCTTCGAATTTTACGCGTGAGTTATAGATGGTAGTATTACATCGGGATATTTAAGTTAGCTTGTGTTATTTGGATATTGTCAAACAATTTAAACATTGATTCATAAGCAAACATTTGAAAAAAGAACTTTCCAAGACATCATAATTATTTGGACTAATATTATACAGGAGAAAATGTTCTGTTCTTATGTAAACATTTTTTAATATATTACATCCTTACACATTTAAAAAATTGATACGCTACAGTAAAACATACTTTAATAAAAAATCGACATCTTATGTAAGTCAAGATGAATGAATCCATTCTGTTTTATTATTGTAAATCTATTCTGTGAAAAGCGCATTTGTTTGTTGTTTTACACTATTAAAATAATAAAAAAAAGGCAATTAATTCAAAAGGATGCTATTCGAATCTACGTGCCTTTATAAGAAGTAGTCTTCTCTCAAATCCTTATTTATTAACTATCGTGATTTTGATCGATTAAACTTTAACGATAAAGGAATACAATAGATGATGTCTTTTATTGGTTTTCGTGTTGTTGGGTTGCTGTCTCATTGCCGTAGACCAAACTTCTGGTTTTATTCATATTTAATTACATGTATTGATTCTTGAAAAAAGTTATAATATTTTGTAGAAATGGACCTCTAATCTTTGTAATATGGACTCTGACAATGATGGATTAAGTAACGGAGAAGAGCTTGGTGACCCAGACTGTTTGTGGACTCCTGGGCAACAACCAAAGAGAACAGAAAATATTTCACATCCAGGTTAGCAGACCTATCATTATAATCACACCAAGGTTACTAATGTCGATTACTAGACATTAAAACCATTAACATATATTTTTAGGAAAGCAGTAACACAAAAGTAAGAAAGGACAAAGCTGTCTAAGAAGTTCGTCTATAGCAATAATTAGACTGTCAGCTCTGAGGATGCGAGTTCGAATACTAATCAGTTCGAGGTGTGTTTGACTCCGATCTTAAATGGCAATGATTGCCAGTTGCCAGCGTCACATCATTTGTTGAATTTTATTTCAGCCATGTTTAGGATGATGTTAGCCAATTTGAAACATTACACATTAGTTTACCATTATGCAAGTATCACCTGAGTGCTTTAGGTTCTGAAATGGCCTATAAAATAGTACAGGGTAAGTTCAAACACCATAAACTAATGTCATGTAAACATGCATGTACATGTATGGCATGGTATTTGATAGATTTACATTTCTTTCTGTAGTTCGATTCAAGGGACCAACAAGTGTCCTAGGCATAGGCCGAATAAAGCCCTTATTGCACATTTTCCTTTATTAAGATTACTAGTGATTGAGTGCTTAAAGGGGCATTAGCTGTCAAATTCATGCTCACCGATTTCACTCAAATTCCCATAGTTGATTTATAACATACTAAAACGTATATCCAAATTATAAAAAGTCTAAAATAAACAATTTACAATGCACGGGCTCGATAAATATATCAGCATGTCGTGTGTATTTGAGTCTAGACGTTATCAAATTAACCATCGATGTGACCTCCGAAAACTGCCGACGGTCATTTAACCCGATATAAACATAAATATAGATATACATAGATAGCGAACTCGTGCATTTGGATTTTTCTAGGTTTGTTTGATTTCATATTATAGGTTAAAAATATATGTTAATCATCGTTTTACCTGTATGAGAATGAGTTTTTGTGGATCGAATCAATCAATCAAATGGTTTACCCTTGTTTCACTTTCAACGTTGACATTCTTTTCCTTTTAATAAATGAACACGCCTAATTCACGCGTAACTCATATCTAGCTAATTGGTTAAATTGAAGGTCACATGAATACGGATTCAATGAGGTCGAATTATTCACTTGCAAGTGAATAATTCATCAGCGATGTTTCTTGACAAAATTGAACCAAACTGCCTGCTAAAAGCGAATTATTATTTCACTTTTTCACTTTCATTAATGATTGAACAAAAAAAAAATCATATTTTAAATTTTTTTGATATCTCGTAGCTAATGCCCCTTTAACGTTCAGTGGCAAATATTTCATAGATACTCAGGACTTAATCCCTTTATTAGAGACGGTATAAAATCATATTGAGTGACTTATTAAGCCGGAAATAGGCCACAATTAAGTACAAAGTATACTTAACATCGGTTTTATTTGATGCGACGAAAAATAAATACGTCATGTAAAGTACAAAGAAAATGTTTGTAAGATTACAGCTACAGTTCCCTTCCAATAATTGATTATAAACAGCTGAAAAAACAGTTGTAGTATTTTAGTTTATGAAATGATTGATTGAAGTATAAGACGTATGAACAAGTTGTTGATTGTCCAATAACTATTGTGAAGCAATGAGGGGGAACAAGATTTTGTAGAAATTGTTGATTGGAGATGTTGAATACAATAAACAAAATTACATCTTCAATATGAAAACCTATGTATGTATGTATAATGAAATCATAGTCTGATCTAGGAATACGCCACTGATATTAATCATTTGAGTTTATCAAAGAGATTCAGATATTTTACTCCGGGTAAAACTTTGAAAATATATTGACTTTTTTTTTTAAATGAAAACACATTCAAGTACGATTTGACTTTATTTATACATGTATGTTTGATTTACAAGTAATGTTGTCAATAAAAAAACTTTGTCGTTGCTGGTTGAATAATGTTTTAAATTTCACACAACATCAGGAAATACCATATAATATGTTATTCTTGAGTCAAGATCTCATTTACAATAAACTATTGTCTGTAATTCAGTTATTTATTAGTTCTACAACAGTAAAATCGAGCGAGACTTCGTATTGTTTGCACGTCGTCAGTCTGCTAGTCTGTCAGTCCGTCCGTACTTCAATGTATTAAAACGATATTCAATAAAAGGTATTATAAAAGGAAAGTACAGATTAAGTTCTTTTTTTGTTTCCGGCTAAACGATATTGTTTTGAATATCGTTGCCTTTGAACATAAGAGAATTGTTTGAATACGATTGTTTTCTGCACTTTATCTGTAATTACTGAATCAGTTGAAGATCAACTTGGGAAAAAGTCATATCACTAAGAAGTTACAGAATAAATTCGAGTTTTAGTACGGCTAAATTTTGTTTACCAGAGTTATAAAAAATATAAATTTTCATATATTTTTCTGTATTATAAAAAAATCTATTGATTAAAATTAAGTCTAAAGGCCTAGTTTTATCATTTAATGTTGACTGCTGTACCCCTATTTTTGACATTTTTTCCTTTTATGTCTGTTTGTTTCGATCACACATTGCTGTCAATTTAATGGAATGTTATGCGACTGTCATACAAGTGAGAGGTTTAGCTAGCTATTAAACCAGGTTTAATCCACCATTTTCTACATAAGGAAATGCCTGTACCAAGTCAGGAATATGACAGTTGTTTTCCATTCGTTTGATGTGTTTGAGCTTTTGATTTTGCCATTTGATAAGAGACTTTCCGTTATGAATTTTCCTTGGCATTCGGTATTTTTGTTATTTTACTTTTAAAAGGAAAAGTTGAGTCTAGTTACGATTGAACATTATTTTTACTGGTCCTTGGACATAGACAGTGTATTGAAAATATCGCTATTTCGCACTTTAATGTCCAAATCGGATTATTACACGCATTATTTTTTTTGTATATAGTTATATCATATGAAGTCACAGAAGTTTGACTTTTGTTCCGGTTAAGCGAACGTTGTGGATATAGGACATAGAAAATTTCTTAAACATATTAGTTTCCTCACTTTTTTCTGTAATGTTTATCTTTTGATTAGATATTTGTTGTAGACTAAGTACTAACCATATCATAAGAAATTATCAGTATATGTTCGAGTGTCGTTCCGGTTGAGCTACATGTAATTTTGCGAAAGTTGTGACCCTTGATCATACGCAATATTGTTTAATATCTGGCTGGGTCCAAGGTCACCGAAAAGACTTTCACTTGGTATGCCCAATGCTCGACTAATTTTGACTGGAAAAAAGCATAAATAATAGAGAATGGAAATAATAAGTCAAATATGTTATTATTGCGGTTGGATTTATTGTGCATCTAATTATAATAATTTAATAAGACAGTGAACTTTTGATATCGATGGCAGACGATTAAAGCCATTCCTTAAACTGCTAACGTCACAATACCCAAATTGCGCCGAGTACCCAAATTGCACTTTTATAGCAAAAAAATAGCAGCGAAAATAATACAAGCTTTCTTAGGGACTAACCAATTCGTATTTTTTATTATTTGATATTATGCACGTCTTTTAAATAGGTAAATATATTCAAATATTCACAAAATGTTCACAGTATATATCAACAGATGAAGTGTTCACCTGAAAAAGTAAAATCTACGGAAACGTCGTCATGTGACGTGCACAAAAAGTCATCTTTTAAAAATGAGCAAATAAAATATGTTACGAGCATCCATTTCATAAGAAATGAATAGTAAGCATGGACACATGTCAAATTGTTCTAAATATATCAAAACATCTGTTATACGAATTTTAAGGATGTGAATTTAAGCATGGATGCAATTTGGGTACTCATCTGTACAGAATCATGGATCGTTTGGTGGTAGGTTCAAACCCATTTTTCTATGATTCAATATGGATTCAAAATAAAATTGGTGGATCTATATAGTAAACAAGGATAGTATTACATCTACAAAATAAACACAGAAAGGAAACTTTTGTCTGGATCATAAATAAACGTGGTTGAAAAAAACTGTCAAAATAGGTGCAATTTGGGTACCCTCACGTTAGCCTCTTAGATCATTGTTATTAGCTAAAATCAAAAAGTTTGTTTTCTCTTTTTTATTGTTTCACATTTTGTTATCCTATGGCTTTAATAGATTACTACGCGGTATTGCGTTTGCTTATGTATAGTTGTTTACCCTCTTGTCTTAAGTGGATAATTGTCTCATTGGCAACTTTACCTCATCGATATATCATTTTTTTTTAATACGAGTTTTATTGGTGGAAATATACATATTAGTGGTGGAAATATACATACCCATAGTGCATTTATATATAATACAACACTGTCAACTTGTTAGGGTTGTTTTACCGATAGTTTTAATTTAAAATGTCTGTAACCGAACAAACTATCATATAATGGATAGAATTTAAGAAAATTAGAGAAACAACAAGGAATGTGAAAACATATGAATCCAGTATGAGAAATTTGATGAAGCGACAAGTAATCGAGTCAACTTGAATTTTCAGTCAAATACTGACAACATGTGATGATCATCTGATGGAGTATCTTTGGAGTCGTCATGAGGGTGAAAATACTTTTGTTGTCCCCGGTAGTTGAATTCGTGAGTATATCAAAACAAAAAAACCTTACAACTGTCATCGTCATGTGATCGTTACCTGAATCAATCAGAATCATCCTTAATACATGTAATAAGGTTTGATAAGATATATGTGTTAGAAAATGTTAGAATGTATTAAAACATTATTACTATAATTATACTATTACAGGCATATGTGAACCATTGACATCATCTACGTGCCAACAACAGAACAAATGGCTGCTAAACTGTGATGGCAACAAAGATACATGTGAATCTTTAAATGAGAAAGGTACTATAACTATGAAATACCATAATAAAATAAGGCACTTCGAGTACGACTTATATGTACCTGTTCAATACCAGTAACCTTTTTTTCTTTTGATTTTCTAAAAACATTTCATAAGAGCTATCTTCTCTTATTTTATTTCAAAATTCTATCATTCAGTTTACCTTCTGCTCTCATTATGATGATTTTCTCTGTATAAACCCTACAAAATGTGTAGTTTTTTAACAACCTGTTGCTTGAGAACAGGCTCGGTGACCTATCACTTTTATACATTTTTGAAAACTACATTTTGGCAAAGTACGGAAAATCTATCATTTTTTGTTTATACTCCAATGCCACATTAAAAGTTCGAAGTCTGTGATAAGGTTTCATTGCATAACGTACTGCGTAGATGTCATTTGTCGAGCTCTAAGACATTACCAAAGTCATAAATAAGAAAAATCCATAAACGTCATAACATGACCGAATGTGATACGAACAGTTTTTCATGCCAATTAAAAAATTTAATGATTAGATAAAATTGAGAATGGAAATGGGGAATATGTCAAAGAGACAACAACCCGACCAAAGAGCAGATAACAGCCGAAGGCCTCCAATGGGTCTTCAACGCAGCGAGAAACTCCCGCACCCGGAGGTGGTCCTCAGCTGGCCCCTAAATAAAATTGTGTACTGGTTCAGTGAAAATGAACGTCACACTAAACTCCAAAACATATAAAGGAACTAAAATTACAAAAACATACAAGACTAACAAGGCCAGAGGCTCCTGACTTGGGACAGGCGCAAAAATGCGGCGGGGTTAAACATGTTTTGTGAGATCTCAACCCTCCCCCTATACCTCTAGCCAATGTAGAATAAAGACACACATAGCAATACGAACAGTAAAACTCAGTTTAAAAGAAGTCCGAGGTCCGATGTCAAAATAGGTAACAAAAGAAACTAAGCAAAATGACAATGATACATAAATTAACAAAGGACTACTAGCAGTTACTGACATGCCAGCTCCAGACTTCAATTAAACTGATTGAAAGATTATGTCTCCATCATATGAAAATCAGGTACAATCCCTCCCGTTAGGGGTTTAGTATCATACCATCATAAAATATATGAGAAGAACATAGCCCGTATCATGCCAACAACTGGTTTTAGAATAAATGTGTTTATTTCCGATGCAAAGACCCAATGAGTGAATCAATATAAATATCAAAATATGCAATCCTTAATGACCTGACAACAGTATCGTAACTATATCCCTTCCGAATAAGTCTGTTTAAAGGTTTGGTTAGCGTTTGAGATGGTTGCCGACATTTTTATACGACCGCAAAAATTGAAAATATTTTGGTCGTATATTGGTATGACGTTGGCGTCGTCGTCGTCGTCGTCGTCGTCGTCTGGCGTCGTCCGGCGTCGTCCGAAGACACATTGGTTTTCGCACTCTAACTTTAGTTTAAGTGAATGGATCTCCATGAAATTTTACCATAAGGTTCAATACCACGAAAGGAAGGTTGGGATTGATTTTGGGGGTTATGGTACCAACAGTTAAGGAATTAGGGGCCAAAAAGGGGCCAAAAATAAGCATTTTTGTAACTTCCAGACAATAACTTGTGTGTAAGTGTATGGATCTCTCTGACATTGTACCACAAGGTTCCATATCACAAAGGGAAGGCAGTAATTGATTTTGGGGGTAATTGCCTCAAAATTTTAGGAATTAGGGGCCAAAAAAGGGGCAAAAAACAAGCATTTTTCTAGTTTCATGACAATAACTTGTGTGTAAGTGTTTGGATATTTCTGAAATTGTACTACAAGGTTCCATATCACAAAGCGAAAGCTGGAATTGAGTTTGTGGGTAATTGCCCGAAACGTTTAGGAAAAGGGGGCCAAAAAGGGGCCAAAAATAAGCATTTTTCTAGTTTCCAGACAATAACTTGTGTTCAAGTGTATGGATCTCTCTGAAATTGTACTGCAAGGTACCATACCACAAAGGGAAGGCTGGGATTGAGTTTGGGGGTGATGAATCATAAGGGGGTTCAAAAAATTTGGGGGGGGGGGATTTTTTTTTTTTCTTTTTTTTTTTTTTTTTCCTTTTTTTTTTTCTTTTAAAATTTTCCATTTTTAGTTGGTTATTTCTGATTAATATTTAAAAGCAAATAATAATGATATGGTAGGAGATACACACCAAACAGGATGTGTAAATTATTATATAATAAGTATTGTGCAATAGCAAGAAATTTTCAATTGCACAGTATTGCACAATTGCAAGAAATCTTCAATTGCACAGTATTGCGCAATAGCAAGAAATCTTCAATTGCACAGTATTGCGCAATAGCAAGAAATATCCAATAGCACAATATTGCGCAATAGCAAGAAATTGTCAATTGTACAGTATTGCACAATAGCAAGAAATATTCAATTGCACAGTATTGTGCAAAAGAAGATACTTCGTATAAATTGCTTATTTCTTGATCAATTTCAATGGGGTTTTATTCTTGAATTCTTGGGGTTCTTAAATATGCTGAATCTACCCGTGTATTAAGTTTTTGGATTTTGGGCCCCGTTTTTAAATTGGTCCACATTGAGGTCCAAAGGGTCCAAAATTTAACTTTGTTTGATTTCATCAAAAATTGAATTATTGGGGTTCTTTGATATGCCGAATCTAACCGTGTATTTAGATTCTTAATTTTTGGTTCCGTTTTCAAATTGGTCTACATTAAGGTCAAAAGGGTCCAAAATTAAACTTAGTTTGATTTTAACAAAAATTGAATTTTTAGGGTATTTTGATATGCTGAATCTAAACATGTATTTAGATTTTTGATTATGGGCCCAGTTTTCAAGTTGGTCCAAATTGGGGTCCAAAATTAAACTTTGTTTGATTTCAGCAAAAATTGAATATATGGGGTTCTTTGATATGCTGAATCTAACCATGTATTTAGATTTTTGATTTTTGGGCCCTGTTATCAACTTTGTCCACATTGAGGTCAAAAGGGTCCAAAATTAAACTTTGTTTGATTTCATCAAAAATTGAATTCTTGGGGTTCTTTGATATGCTGAATCTAACCATGTATTTAGATTTTTTATTTGTGGACCCGCTATCAAATTGGTTCATATTGAGGTCAAAAGGGTCCAAAATTAAACTTTGTTTGATTTCATCAAAAATTGAATTATTGGGGTTCTTTGATATGCCAAATCTAACTGTGTATTTAGATTTTTAATTTTGGGTCCCGTTTTTAAATTGGTCTACATTAAGGTCCAAAGGGTCCAAAATTAAACTTAGTTTGATTTTAACAAAAATTGAATTCTTGGGGTTCTTTGATATGCTGAATCTAAACATGTGTTTAGATTTTTGATTATGGGCCCAGTTTTCAAGTTGGTCCAAGTTGGGGTCCAAAATTAAACTTTGTTTGAATTCAACAAAAATTGAATATATGGGGTTCTTTGATATGCTGAATCTAAACATGTATTTAGATTTTAGATTTTTGGCCCAGTTTTCAAGTTGGTCCAAATTGGGGTCCAAAATTAAACTTTGTTTGATTTCAACAAAAATTGAATATATGGGGTTCTTTGATATGCTGAATCTTACCATGTATTTAGATTTTTTATTTGTGGGCCCGCTATCAAATTGGTTCATATTGAGGTCAAAAGGGTCCAAAATTAAACTTTGTTTGATTTCTTCAAAAATTTAATTATTGGGGTTCTTTGATATGCCAAATCTAACCGTGTATTTAGATTTTTAATTTTGGGTCCCGTTTTTTAAATTGGTCTACATTAAGGTCCAAAGGGTCCAAAATTAAACTTAGTTTGATTTTAACAAAAATTGAATTCTTGGGGTTCTTTGATATGCTGAATCTAAACATGTGTTTAGATTTTTGATTATGGGACCAGTTTTCAAGTTGGTCCAAGTTGGGGTCCAAAATTAAACTTTGTTTGAATTCAACAAAAATTGAATATATGGGGTTCTTTGATATGCTGAATCTAAACATGTGTTTAGATTTTAGATTTTTGGCCCAGTTTTCAAGTTGGTCCAAATTGGGGTCCAAAATTAAACTTTGTTTGATTTCAACAAAAATTGAATATATGGGGTTCTTTGATATGCTGAATCTTACCATGTATTTAGATTTTTTATTTTGTGGGCCCGCTATCAAATTGGTTCATATTGAGGTCAAAATGGTCCAAAATTAAACTTTGTTTGATTTCATCAAAAATTGAATTATTGGGGTTCTTTGATATGCCAAATCTAACCGTGTTTTTAGATTTTTAATTTTGGGTCCCGTTTTTTAAATTGGTCTACATTAAGGTCCAAAGGGTCCAAAATTAAACTTAGTTTGATTTTAACAAAAATTGAATTCTTGGGGTTCTTTGATATGCTGAATCTAAACATGTGTTTAGATTTTTGATTATGGGCCCAGTTTTCAAGTTGGTCCAAGTTGGGGTCCAAAATTAAACTTTGTTTGAATTCAACAAAAATTGAATATATGGGGTTCTTTGATATGCTGAATCTAAACATGTATTTAGATTTTAGATTTTTGGCCCAGTTTTCAAGTTGGTCCAAATTGGGGTCCAAAATTAAACTTTGTTTGATTTCAACAAAAATTGAATATATGGGGTTCTTTGATATGCTGAATCTTACCATGTATTTAGATTTTTTATTTGTGGGCCCGCTATCAAATTGGTTCATATTGAGGTCAAAAGGGTCCAAAATTAAACTTTGTTTGATTTCTTCAAAAATTTAATTATTGGGGTTCTTTGATATGCCAAATCTTACCGTGTATTTAGATTTTTAATTTTGGGTCCCGTTTTTTAAATTGGTCTACATTAAGGTCCAAAGGGTCCAAAATTAAACTTAGTTTGATTTTAACAAAAATTGAATTCTTGGGGTTCTTTGATATGCTGAATCTAAACATGTGTTTAGATTTTTGATTATGGGACCAGTTTTCAAGTTGGTCCAAGTTGGGGTCCAAAATTAAACTTTGTTTGAATTCAACAAAAATTGAATATATGGGGTTCTTTGATATGCTGAATCTAAACATGTGTTTAGATTTTAGATTTTTGGCCCAGTTTTCAAGTTGGTCCAAATTGGGGTCCAAAATTAAACTTTGTTTGATTTCAACAAAAATTGAATATATGGGGTTCTTTGATATGCTGAATCTTACCATGTATTTAGATTTTTTATTTTGTGGGCCCGCTATCAAATTGGTTCATTTCGAGGTCAAAATGGTCCAAAATTAAACTTTGTTTGATTTCATCAAAAATTGAATTATTGGGGTTCTTTGATATGCCAAATCTAACCGTGTTTTTAGATTTTTAATTTTGGGTCCCGTTTTTTAAATTGGTCTACATTAAGGTCCAAAGGGTCCAAAATTAAACTTAGTTTGATTTTAACAAAAATTGAATTCTTGGGGTACTTTGATATGCTGAATCTAAACATGTGTTTAGATTTTTGATTATGGGACCAGTTTTCAAGTTTGTCCAAGTTGGGGTCCAAAATTAAACTTTGTTTGATTTCAACAAAAATTGAATATATGGGGTTCTTTGATATGCTGAATCTAACCATGTATTTTGATTTTGGACATTGGACCATAATAGGTAAATTAAAAAAATTGAAGTTCTTAGACCACATTCTTTCTGTGTCAAATATTTAATCACAATCCAAATTCAGAGCTGTATCAAGCTTGAATGTTGTGTCCATACTTGCCCCAACTGTTCAGGGTTCGACCTCTGCGGTCGTATCAAGCTGCGCCCAGCGAAGCATTTTATTGTGCTTTGTAAAGAATATTACCATACAATATTGGATGTGACAATGCTTCATAGAACGACATGCCTCCTATAGACTATTCAGATATCGATAAGGGAAATTTCACCGGAAATCGAGCCGAAGATGAAACAAAAACGATCATTATCCATCTTAAAGCATCGGCTATGAACTCATGTACATCGGAACAGTAAGTAGTTCTTGCTCCACTGTGCTGATGACAAAATGGATTAGTTATAAACTAGAAATATTATAACTAATGGGAGTGTGAAATCAAACAAATGCTACACATATGTGGACAACGATTCTTCATAAACGGTAAACCAAACCATAGTGGGTGTCGGTCAAACATGATAATACTATTTTTACTAAATAAGAAAAATACTACATACTTTTTTATATACTTTATAATTCTAGGAACTCACCGAACTTCTATTCGGCTTCCAGCAACCAGTATACCACCAAAACAGACATCCTACTATTGTATGTTATTTAGACTACCTAGAAATGACACATTCCATCTTGTAGGAACAAAACCGATCATTGATAATAAAGATATAACACACCATATACTCCTGTTTGGCTGTAATGAACAAGGTAAGTATACCCACAAAAATTGATCAACGATGTTTTTTTTTCATTTATATAAAAATTGAAAAATCATCTACATTAAATCTGAATAAAATGGTATTCCAATTTGACAGAAACCAAGTGATAAAATTCTGAAATAGACTTGTAGATGTCACTATACAGTCTTCAACAATAGACAAGTGTCTATATAGTATGTCAAGCGCTAAGTCGATCAGAATCTATTAGAGTAAACTTTGAATTAATCATACAAATATCTGCCACTATCATAATCAAATTCTCCAATTACACAAACAAATTCAGATATGGCATAAAATAACTACTCATGAGACTTCTGACAGTGGATTGGCATGTTATAGCTGACTATGTGTATGGGTTTTGCTCATTGTTGAATGCCGTACGGCGACCTATAGTTGTTAACTTCTATATCATTTGATCTCTGGTGGAGAGTTGTCTCATTGGCAGTTATACCACATATCTTATTTTTATATATGAATTCATGACGGGGTTAAACCTGTTCACTGTTCAAACCTCCCCTTTTTATTTTGACGAGGGGATTAACAAAAGGTACAAAAACGGAACATACACCTTAAGGGCATACGATACAGTTTTGATCCCATATTGAAATTTTGATAAAAATTTGCATGTAGGCTATTTTTTACCTGATTAAATCAAATATGTAATAAAAAATATCCCTTCATGTGCTACTTTTTGAGTAAATTGAGATTCAAATTTCAGATATTTTCTCAAAATACGGATTTATGGACTTATTTTTCCTTTCGATAGAAATACATAACTTTTTTGTTTTAAAAGATAAACACGAACTGTGTTTTGTTAAATAATTTATAATTAATGTGTTATATAAATATTGTATAAATTTGTACATTTTATTTTTACAAATAGCTCAAATTTCTCAAATGTTCATGAATGTAGAAAAAAAACCGTCAATTTTTGCTGTATATTAATCAAATTTAAAAAAATTGCACTATTTACGTTTTCATGAAAATTGGTACACATAATCTTCTTACGTAATCAAACCAAATGTCATTTTAAAAAAAGAGGGGTCCATGAACTCGTTTTGAAGTTAAATCAGTTTGAATGATAAAAATCAGCCGAAAACTGCATATTTTCCCGATAAGTCAACGTTTGACGTCGCGAAAATAACAATTTACGTTAGCAACGTCATTACCTCCCCTGTAACTGTATCGTATGCCCTTAATGATCTAGAGAGCGTTTTGTACTAACTTGAAGTATAAACATATCATTGAAAAATGTAAAATGTCAACGAGCACAGTACTTTGGTTCATTGAAATGCTCTATTGAAACTTTGGATAACAAATTGAAGTTAAAAAAATAAGATGTGGTATAATTTCCAATGAGGCAATTTTCACCACAAACCAAACGAAGTAAAAGTTAGAAGCTATAGGTCACCAGAAAGATTGATTTTGACGATTTTCACTTTGATCGTTCCAGAGTCATTGCACAAGGTCATGTTTTTCTCTGACTGTTAATGACGTATTTATACTAAATCCATTGGACGTTGGATGTGTACTGATTGATATTTTAGTCTTAGATACATGATTTTTTTATTAGTTGTTATTGGCTTTGAACTAGCTACCAGTAACTGCGAGTAATCTCAGATCTTTACTTAGTGTCCTTTTTGTTGTTAGAGATGAGGGATGGATAAATACCCTGCCACGTCTGGTCTGTGTTTATATTTGATGTTTTTCTGCTTTGTGTCGATCTGTTGAGTTAAGCATTTTTCAACTTATTTTTATAGTTTGTACTCATGTTGTGCTGTCACACCACTGTCCCAGGTTAGGGGAAGGGTTGAGCGCTCACAAACATGTTTAACCCCGTCACATTCTTTATGTGCCTGTCCCAAGTCAGGAGCCTGTAGCTCAGTGGTTGTTTTTGGTTCATGTCTGTCACATTTGTTTTTCGTTAATTGTTTTGTTATAAATTAGGCCCTTAGTTTTCTCAATTGAATTGATTCATATTTTTCATGTGGGGGCCTTTTATAGCCGACTATACGGTATGGGTTTTTCTCATTGTTGAAGGCAGTACGGTTGCCTTTAACATGTTTTATTGCTTACATTCACTTTATTTGAACTTTGTTTGATTTCAGCAAAAATTGAATATATGGGGTTCTTTGATATGCTGAATCTAACCATGTATTTAGATTTTTGATTTTTGGGCCCTGTTATCAACTTTGTCCACATTGAGGTCAAAAGGGTCCAAAATTAAACTTTGTTTGATTTCATCAAAAATTGAATTCTTGGGGTTCTTTGATATGCTGAATCTAACCATGTATTTAGATTTTTTATTTGTGGACCCGCTATCAAATTGGTTCATATTGAGGTCAAAAGGGTCCAAAATTAAACTTTGTTTGATTTCATCAAAAATTGAATTATTGGGGTTCTTTGATATGCCAAATCTAACTGTGTATTTAGATTTTTAATTTTGGGTCCCGTTTTTAAATTGGTCTACATTAAGGTCCAAAGGGTCCAAAATTAAACTTAGTTTGATTTTAACAAAAATTGAATTCTTGGGGTTCTTTGATATGCTGAATCTAAACATGTGTTTAGATTTTTGATTATGGGCCCAGTTTTCAAGTTGGTCCAAGTTGGGGTCCAAAATTAAACTTTGTTTGAATTCAACAAAAATTGAATATATGGGGTTCTTTGATATGCTGAATCTAAACATGTATTTAGATTTTAGATTTTTGGCCCAGTTTTCAAGTTGGTCCAAATTGGGGTCCAAAATTAAACTTTGTTTGATTTCAACAAAAATTGAATATATGGGGTTCTTTGATATGCTGAATCTTACCATGTATTTAGATTTTTTATTTGTGGGCCCGCTATCAAATTGGTTCATATTGAGGTCAAAAGGGTCCAAAATTAAACTTTGTTTGATTTCTTCAAAAATTTAATTATTGGGGTTCTTTGATATGCCAAATCTAACCGTGTATTTAGATTTTTAATTTTGGGTCCCGTTTTTTAAATTGGTCTACATTAAGGTCCAAAGGGTCCAAAATTAAACTTAGTTTGATTTTAACAAAAATTGAATTCTTGGGGTTCTTTGATATGCTGAATCTAAACATGTGTTTAGATTTTTGATTATGGGACCAGTTTTCAAGTTGGTCCAAGTTGGGGTCCAAAATTAAACTTTGTTTGAATTCAACAAAAATTGAATATATGGGGTTCTTTGATATGCTGAATCTAAACATGTGTTTAGATTTTAGATTTTTGGCCCAGTTTTCAAGTTGGTCCAAATTGGGGTCCAAAATTAAACTTTGTTTGATTTCAACAAAAATTGAATATATGGGGTTCTTTGATATGCTGAATCTTACCATGTATTTAGATTTTTTATTTTGTGGGCCCGCTATCAAATTGGTTCATATTGAGGTCAAAATGGTCCAAAATTAAACTTTGTTTGATTTCATCAAAAATTGAATTATTGGGGTTCTTTGATATGCCAAATCTAACCGTGTTTTTAGATTTTTAATTTTGGGTCCCGTTTTTTAAATTGGTCTACATTAAGGTCCAAAGGGTCCAAAATTAAACTTAGTTTGATTTTAACAAAAATTGAATTCTTGGGGTTCTTTGATATGCTGAATCTAAACATGTGTTTAGATTTTTGATTATGAGCCCAGTTTTCAAGTTGGTCCAAGTTGGGGTCCAAAATTAAACTTTGTTTGAATTCAACAAAAATTGAATATATGGGGTTCTTTGATATGCTGAATCTAAACATGTATTTAGATTTTAGATTTTTGGCTCAGTTTTCAAGTTGGTCCAAATTGGGGTCCAAAATTAAACTTTGTTTGATTTCAACAAAAATTGAATATATGGGGTTCTTTGATATGCTGAATCTTACCATGTATTTAGATTTTTTATTTGTGGGCCCGCTATCAAATTGGTTCATATTGAGGTCAAAAGGGTCCAAAATTAAACTTTGTTTGATTTCTTCAAAAATTTAATTATTGGGGTTCTTTGATATGCCAAATCTAACCGTGTATTTAGATTTTTAATTTTGGGTCCCGTTTTTTAAATTGGTCTACATTAAGGTCCAAAGGGTCCAAAATTAAACTTAGTTTGATTTTAACAAAAATTGAATTCTTGGGGTTCTTTGATATGCTGAATCTAAACATGTGTTTAGATTTTTGATTATGGGACCAGTTTTCAAGTTGGTCCAAGTTGGGGTCCAAAATTAAACTTTGTTTGAATTCAACAAAAATTGAATATATGGGGTTCTTTGATATGCTGAATCTAAACATGTGTTTAGATTTTAGATTTTTGGCCCAGTTTTCAAGTTGGTCCAAATTGGGGTCCAAAATTAAACTTTGTTTGATTTCAACAAAAATTGAATATATGGGGTTCTTTGATATGCTGAATCTTACCATGTATTTAGATTTTTTATTTTGTGGGCCCGCTATCAAATTGAACTTTGGCGGATAGTTGTCTGATTGGCAATCATACCTCATCACCTCATTATGGCACCCTCAACGGAGTTGGGGTGACATATTGTTATTCTACGTTTCTTTTTCGTCTTATTATTTTTCTTCCACTTTTTTTTTTCCAGCTCATATCTCGGAATTGTATGAATCAATATTAATGGAACTATACCATAATGTTAACCAGCATGTGCAGACTTGCAATCGGGGTATGGCATTTCCAAGATGGCCAATGGAAACAGCAAAAATGTCCAAAAAGTCAATATGCTCCAAAGTTAATGAAGCTTCACACAAATATATACTAGCATCTGCTGATGTTCAATTTGACTTTGGAATTTCCAAAATGGCCACCGTTACCATGGACACAGCAAAAATGTCCAAAATTTCAAAATGCTCCAAACTTAATGAAACTTTACAACAATGTTATTTGGCATGTGTAGATGCGCTGTTCGACTTGGAATTTTCAAAATGGCTGCCGTTACCCTGGCAATGGGGGGACGAGGGTGCCATCCGTTATTGCTAGCAATTACAAATCTAGTTTTTACTATGTTTCTTGATAAAAATATGGCACGTTATGTCGTTTCCTTGGTATATATAAGAACCATACCGCCATTACTTTTCAAAACTTTATACAATGGTTCTTTGTACAAATTGGGAGTTGAAGTTTGATATTGACGAAATTCTCATCTTCTGTTCAGGAGTTATGGTCCTTTATTGATTTGATTGAAGATTGGCGTTTTGTCGTTTCCTTGTAATAACTTGAGAAACTTTCGACTAACAGTTTTCAAATACATTTTTTTGTAACAAACTGTAGGTTAAGTCCAAAATTTTTAATTGTCACTGATGCTTTCAGGAGTTATGCACCTTGATTGCTCCAACAATGAATAAAAGTAAAACCTTGTTAACTGTTACCCTGACGGCATTTTGTTTTAACAACTGTAACTTTTACTATTTTGTAGAAGGACAAATTGTACCATCCAAAACACCATATGAATGTGGAATGTTAGCGCACAGACAATGTGTCAATATTATTGGGACATGGACAGTTGGAAGTGGTGGAGATTGTTTTCACAATGCTACTGGATTTAAAATTGGATCGTCGGGATTTCAAACTGCAGCATTACAGGTAAAACAATGGTTACTAAAGAAATCTGCTCTCACATGAAAGCTGGTTAAGATATGCTGCGAAGTTTGGAATACATTTTTCAAATGTTTACTTTAAAACAAAATTACTGAATCGATTTGTAAAGAGCAAATGTAAAAAAGCGTTATTTGGTAAACATGGACTTAAGCAAAAGCTAACTAATACTACTACTAATAAAAAAAAAATTAATAAAAATATTAATAAAAATGATATTGGTACTTCACTGTAAATGGTCTTTCGTGGATTTTGCTATTATTTTTAGGTAATTTTTTGGTTATGTAGCTCTTCACGTGTTATACATTTTTCACTTTCATTTAAAATATTTGGCTTTATATTTTACAGGTCTGTAATTGTTTAATCATACGTTAATGATTTGACAAGCCCAGTAGTCAACACTCATATGTTGATCATTAGTACGTTACTTATTCGTAAATTAATGCTTTAAAATTGTAAATTAATCAAAACACTAAGGTTCCCCCCAGACATAGATGGCTTTAGTCCGATTCGCCATTTTATTTTGTTTTTTTTTTACAATGCTCTTGTTTGACCGTATAGCTGTTTTTATTCGAGCACCACTGATGAGTCTCATGTGAACGAAACGCGCGTGTGGCGTACCTATAAGCCTGGTATCTTTCTAAAATATTGATTTGTAATCTAATTTTCAGATTCATTGGAATAATCGAAATAGAATTCCAAACATGACCGATTCTTCTGGACTAGAGCTTTTTTATACTCCAAATCTTCGACAATATGAAGCTGGCATGTTTGTTGTTGGACAAGAGTATCTGAACATTCCACCTCGAGTTCCCAACATAAGCTTCCGTTCGAGATGTTCAAGTGCCTGCACTGAAGTGATGTTTCCAAAAGGTGTTTTTATTACAAGAGCAGTTAACCATATGCATTATAAAGGTAAAATACCACCGTGAAGTGGAACTGACAGTTTTGTTTGATCTGATAGTTGTTTTCAGACATTGCAACTTCTGTATTGACATAGACATATGCACATGAAACCCCAGATAACATTGAAATTAAGCATAAAAAGTCAAACTCAAATTAGTATAAGAAATAAATTATAAAGATCTTTTTTACTGAGAACCTGTTTCAAAATCAGTGTCAATATAAATTTGATGTGTTGCGACATAAACTTTAACAACTTTTTTTGTATGCCAAAACAACACATCAAATGGGTAATTCTAATATGTACCACGTTTTGAATCTGTGGCTTACCAAGTTTAAGTTATCAAACGAGCCAGAACTAGATTATAGAATGTATGCTAGAGACACAGAAATCGGTAGATATACTCTGAAGAATAATTGGCAATGGAATATGTAAATTAAGGCGACAGTAGTTTACCTATCTTCAAATCTCGTCAATCGACTAAGAAGAATCCAATCAAGGTCACAAAAAATAAATGGAACACGGAAATGTGTTTCGGTGTAAAGTGAATAAGGTTTATTTACATAAAATTATTCTTCAAGAGATAGTAGTTTTACTCTATATTGATTAAAGGTGTCGATGTGAACTGGAATGCATGTAGTATTTTATCGAAAGTAATATTAATGAAAATAATAATTAAAAAATCATCGTTCATCATGTTCATGTAGTGGCATCCGCTAACTCATGTATTACAGCTCTAAAGACATAGCGCTAATGAACAATTAATCATGTTTTTAATATACCCGTCAAAATGGCATGTCACCTCTTATTTTGACACATATATATATCACTTTAAGGAGCGAAAAAAAAAGAGCTCTAAATTCTGGAAATGAAGTGGACATTTTATGTTTTGCTGAAAAAAGTCCAATTGAAAATTACATTAGGATTTTTGTAACTTTATGTGGAATCAGAAAGAATGCATCTAATCTTGCAAATAGAGCTGAATTTGGGATATTCCTCATATAATTTAATATAAAATCACAAATGTATCATATTTAAGGAGATTTGATTGTTGTAAACTAAATCCTCTTTTTGAAAAAAAAAACTTACATGCTTAATTAAAAGTTGGACACAGAAGGAGTATACTCCTAGTTTACCTATGCAACAAATATTCTATGTGAACTAATTAAGACATAACACAGAAACAACAAGATACAAATTCAGACCTGAAAATAAACAAATAAATGTTATACAACAACAAATGTTTAAAACTATTTTCCAAATTTAATAAAGAATTAAATGCTTATTTTTGTTATTTTATTGAGGTGTAAAAGAGTTGACTGAAGCACATTTTGTATGCAGCTTCATGCTGAAAATGTCCGCACGATCAACGCGTTAACACCCCTATAGAATTACGAAAAGAAGCATTCAATCCTTAAAATACATTTATATGCTACAACTATGAAATTATGAGTTGTATCAATGTTTTCGTTTGTTGTCATATGCATTGTAGTCCGTCATGGGAAGCTCGTGCGATCATTTAAGTTGAATTTTATTGAGAAATACACTTTGATTTTGGAATGCTTCGCGATTGATTCCAGCCAATCAAAAGTATGGATTCTTTTGAAAAGTTCATGTAATGTAATAATAATATAATGAAATTTAAAATAAATGATGATATTACAGATAAACTTAATTTTTTTAGGAACCTTAAACAAAGTTTATATTCGGAATATTATCTAAATGTGTTCAAACTTGACAATTAGATAATTAATAGTAGTAACCATAATCTAAATATATAGAAAAAGGAAGACAAATTAAAATATTCATAGAGAACAGAGATTATTCATTATCTGTTACATATAAGAAGATGAAAAGCAGTTTTGTTATTATATTGTGAATTAAATAGTGATATGAATTCTGGAAATATTGCTGATCATAATTTGTCCACTGAAAAAAAAAAAGATTTCACAATCTACCCATCAACACCATCACAAGTAAATGAATTAACATTAAAAAGTTATTAGAACTTAGGACTGGGGACTCTGTAGTATTAATTTATTGGATTTTAAATGATTGTATATAAATGAATGTTAACTTTCGTTGATATTGTTTACTTGTCACAAGCTTACTGCTTACTGTTTGAAGCTTATATGACAATAAACATTTAAATTAAATTGAATTGAATTGTTATAATAGTACAGCATTTTATCAGTTTATATGTGTTTTTTTAGGGATACAACAAAATATAGAGATATACAGAGGAAACAAGAAAATTAGAGATATAACTCATGAAGAGGAATATACCTATGACAAACCAGTCTTTTATCAGTGAGTGCATTTACAATGATAATAAATTTATTGGTCTAAAGCTTTTACAATAACCTTATTGCTACATCTTTCACGAACAAGGTACCCTGATATATTATTATCTTCAAGATTGTGGTTTCTTGAAGATAAAACAAGCTCACTTTATGATTGTTAGTTAGTTACATAGTTTAATACATACCAATATAAATGCGAATCATCTAATTAGTAAATACGTAAATAAAATCATCATCAATTCCAGAATTAAAAAAAAATATTCGCCAGACGCGCGTTTTGTCTACATAAGACTCATCAGTGACGTTACATAGTGCCAAATGAAGTACGCAGTTAAAGAGTACTGTGGATTCATTTATTTTCGTGGGTATCAATTTTCGAGGATTTAGGAAATCTTGAATTTTCATAGATATTTAATTTCGTGGTTTTACCAAAGTCTGCATAAAATTTGTATATCGTTGAACATTTAAATTCGTGGTTAGCCTAAACCAACGAAATTCACGAACATTGGTTTCCAACGAATAATAATGAATCCACAGTATCAATTTTTGTTCCGGTGATTTTTGCTTTTCCATCCTGATACAGTATACATAATTCATTTATGTTTAGATAAATGTGCGTGTGTCTAAAAAAAGTCTAGTATTATTACAGAAAGTTTTGGATGTTTAGTGAGACGATATACAAACAAGTTAAGTGGCAACAAAGTATAAAGGAAAATTTAATAACATAACAAAAATAGATTATAAGAAGTAGATATATGTGGTACTTGTATACGTCAACGAAACAGCATCCAAAGCAAGTTAAAAGAATTACTAGGAGATCTATGATTTTCTGTTTGTGTGTGTACTTAAGAGATTAAAAGTCAGTTTATGTACTTTAAATCAGATATAATATAACATATACTTCAAAATATGCTAGTCACATTAAAAAAAATAAATGGTCTAAATCTATATTCATTGTAGATTTGATCCACCAATTAAGGTTAGTCCTGGGGATGAAATCAGAACTACATGCACATATTCGTCCCTATCGTCAAACGAAACTATTTTCTTTGGTGAAGGAACATCCGATGAAATGTGCTACGGATTCATCACATATTATCCTGCTCAAAATATAGCACTGCCTTACTGTACAACATGGAAAACAGTCGAAAAATGTAAAAGATATATGCCCCAGTTTGGCGGAATAATTGATGGGTGTAAGTGGAAGGACTTCCTGTCTGGTGGAAACGAATATATTGGATTCATGATGATAGAACTCGCTATGCACTGTGATACTTCCTGTTCTTTAAACTGTACTGAAAAAGTCCGAAATCTACGAGAACACGAATGCTTACGCGGGGATCTAGGAGATTTTATGATCTTTAAATTACAGAGAAAATATCCATCCATTAGTTTAATAAAAGACTGTTTTCGAGAAAACAAAAGTGACAATGTGAAGGCATATAGTTTCTTTCTGTTTTTAAGTTTAGCTTTGGTGTATTTTTCTTAGCTAACATTCTCATAAAATCAAATTCACTATTTTTTTTTGTCAATTAGCCATAAAGTACGTGCAGACATATCGAGAGAGAACTCCATAATTATCCAATTAGAAGGTATATTTGACATCACATATAGAATATAAATCAACCATGTCATTAAGCATTTAGCTTTCGATTTTTCGTCCTTTTATAAGCGGGCAATTAAAACTTACCGTTTTTGCTGGATTCAGTGTAAGTTACTCGATATACCTTCAGCAGGAAAGCTGTTAACATCACGTTGGAATAGACAATCTTAAATCGGATGAATAAAATGGAAACTATATAACAAGAAAGGCACATACAAACGAGTTAAAAAACCATAAGGTCAATAGGTCGTAGGTAGATGCTATCTTTAATATTTGCATCACAAATTCAGTACGGTGACTAATAGACATTTGCGGAAACTGTCAAACACCTACGATTAGGATTACAATTACACTTTCAGGTAGCATTTAAATCTTGGGTCATCTCAAAGCGTAAATATGAACCGTCGTTCCAAAACATTTTAACTCCTATGATGTTTTTCTATAGTTGAACAACAGGGATTTTAAGAAATATATGAAGTACCGGTAATATGTACACATTAATTATTGTACATCGTGTTCATGTACGGAGTATGATAGAATGGACAAACATCACTTAATAAGTTTTACATGGGACACAAAGAAAACCGTATTGTCGTTGGCTAGGTTGGGACAATTAGAAATTAATTTCAACAAGACTAAGCGTACAGAAAGGCCGATCAACTAAGAAGCATGTTGACAATATTTAATGTTTATGCTAAGACATATAGTTTCCATTTTTTTAAAGAAAATGGGAGGATACAGAGTATGGGTGCTTTTAATAAAAACTATTTATTCGCATGGCATTATACTTGCCGGTCGGTATATATTATCTTTTATTAATTCTAAATTGGGAAAACAATTTTGTCCACGTTTTTGGTATAAAAAAAAACAAACAAAAATATGCGAAAAAAACACAACATCGTTATTAATGAACATCTTTTTATTGTATATAATTTAAACTATTCTTCAAACTCTGTTGAGATGCAAAATAGGTGTATTCAAATAGTCGTAATTTTACTATCTATCTTCTCAAATTAAGCAAAACCAATACCGGGTCTAGACCTGAGTCGAGTTTTGACGAAAATTTTCCCTGTGCAATGAGACTTGTAAAATTTAAAACTATCGGCAACAGCAAGTGGCTGTACGGCAGATGAAAGAATATCATACACGTTACGTCTCACTAATTATTAAGCTGTAGACCAAATATAAAATCATTTCTTTCTATAGAGGCCACGAAAACATTACAAGGTCTTTCGAACGGATGAACGGTCAGAGCCGAGCGGTTACTAGACCTACTTTCGACTTCATCGACGCAGGTAAAAATGACTACCGTGTTCTGATTTGTTTGTTTTTGTGCAATTTGTATAGCGAGTTTGGGAATCATTTGAGTAGACGTTTTTTTTCACGGTGTCTATAATCATTTCTCTCCCATAAACATGGGAGGGTCTGGTCTGATAGAAGCATGAGCAGTAACTATAGACCCGAGGCGGTACAATTGCCCTCTAGAGTGCACTTATGACGGTCACACAAAGTTTATCCGCAAAATTATTTCGTTGATTAAAAGGGATAAAAGGTGCAAAGGTATATCAGCGGAGAAGAAATTGTTAAAAAAAATCGTAAACTATTTAAGCCGGGTATGGAGCAGTTTTGGATACAAAATGGAATCATGAAAACGAAGGACATTGATATTTCAAAAGCATTGTTTATTAATTATATTGTGTAATTTGCTTATCGCATATTCCCTGTTTTTCAAGTGCACCGTTTGAAGAGTACCCTCTAAACGAATTTTTGCTGATTTTGCTTTATGAAAAATTAATAAGGTAAGACATAATTTTGGAACTATAAGAAAACGATTATAAACCTTATACAAGACAACATATTGTTCGAAAGCCCCAGGATATATAGAGGAAGTCTAAAATATCTAATAGACTTATTACACACTATACTAACATTTATTCCAATAAAAAACTCTCTAAAACACTTTTTCTCACAACAATACTTATTAATCAGAATTATAGCCTTAAAGAAATCACTGCATATACTCTAAGTTTTCTTTTACAGTACATTTTATACCCCCACCCTTGTATCAATTTTTTAAAGAATTTGAAAACAAGACTTTAATTATTGCCAGCTTACCCTATGTGCATGTTTTCTGACATGAAATGTCTAGAACCTGTTTGAAACTATTTTGATAACAAACTGAAAGCATTTCAGAACACTATAAATGTAATGTTTAGCAGCTAATCATTCCAACATTCAAGATTATATAAATTATCCAATCCTGCCTGTCTCCAGTCCACATCTTACTGTATGCCTATTTGTCAATGAAAGTTCACAATTACTGCCTCAAATGGTCAGTTTAGAAATCTTGTCACAACAGTATCATCTCTAACCATATATCGAACATTATTTAGCTAATATATGAACTAGAAGTGTTTAAACAAAGCCATATTTGCAAAAGTTGTATCCATGAAGACACCAGTCTGATGTATGAATTCACTAAAAGTTTTATAGAAATGACTGCTAACATCTGATATTTGCATAACTTCCAAGCACAGTTATTGGTTTCTATACAAAAGACCTTTCAAATAATAAAGTCAAAGCATTTACAAGTTAAATTATTTGTTTTATGACCCAAGGGGTAGGCATTTTTTCTGTTTTTTGCCTCTGGGGCCTCAAATTTCCTAAATTATTCTGCTGTTTCTAGCAATATGGAATATTTAGTGCATATTTAGGATAGAACACACTATTGTGTGTTTTATTGGGATATTTTTGTATTTCTAGCTTGTATTTTTTTATGCCGCGGTCACACAAAAAACACATTTAGGTGTTACGGCTTACCTTTGGGTTATCGACAGGAAAAAACACCCCACCAATTATATTCAGGAAGGATCTATGAGTTTCAATGACTGCGAAGAGTAAATATAAGCACTTCTAAACAATTTAAATTACTAATATGCATATATTATGAATTTATTTTGCATTCAGGGCTTTAGGTAAACTATGCATACTGTTAACTGTGAATTTATGCTGAGTCATCATAGTTAAGGCCAAGGATTTTCTCAGTCTTCATGAACTATTTATAAAACGTCATATTTGAGTTAATTTCATTAAAATCTCTGAGATAAACCAGATTTGGTTAAATTCTGTATGTTCTCTTTTTTTACCCAATATAGGTTGCATTTCTGTAAATATCAACAATGCAATTTCCCATAGGAACTCCTTTCACGGCTAAAACTGTACCACTTTTACTATGAAGTTTTGAAAAAAATTATATCCTAGAATGGAAAGTTCATATGCACAATTATTTTCAAAGGTCAAAATATAGGGCTGTGCGGCATATTTTCAACGTTTATATGCCCCGAACTTCTAATAGTTTCAACTTACATTAAAATTCTATACTACCCCTACCTTGACTTAAGGATTTCCACAGATTTCAATTTTATCGCTATGAATATGTATATTTACTGGTTACATTCCCAAGTTATGTCTCTACGAGATGAAACATAGAGATCATATCCGGGAACCAGTACGTAAACAAAATTAATAATCTATGTATATTATATATCTCCCCAAAAGAGGCGTGGTTTGAGAAACAGCTGTATTTACAAAGTGCAACCTATAAAGTAAAGCTTGAACACGCCATCGGAGAATTAAGAAAAAAAAAAGTTATGGGGATATTTTTGGTGACATATCCAAAACAGCCATTCAAATCTGTTGTGACCATTTGCGCTGCATTAGTGTGTTGTCGTAACATTTTATTTACATAACAAAAAAACAATCATTTGATTTTACTAGTTATTTCTATTGTTGCTTTTTTTAAATTTTGAGATGACCCCTTGTATTTCGTCAACTGTAATCGGAAGTCTTAAGTGTAATCCTAGGTGTAGTTTCCGCAAATGTCTATTAATACCTTATCCAATCAAATTGCGTACGATTCAATAACAATGACCGGTCCACATCGTAATAAGTAATAGGGTAAACTGGGAAGGGAGAAAATGACAGATATTTTAAGTTATCTTTTTTGCAAAAACGAATAAAAATTTGTCAACCAAAACTTTTGCAATAATTTCAAAAACATGTCGTTCTAAGGAAATGTGGTATGATTGCCATTGAGACAACTATCCCACAAAGTTCAAATGAAGTGGATGTAAGCAATTATAGGCAACCGTACGGCCTTCAACAATGAGAAAACCCATACCGTATGGTCGGCTATAAAAGGCCCCGACATGAAAAATATGAAACAATTCAATTGCGAAAAGGAACGGCCTAATTATAACAAAACAGGCTCCTGACTTGGGACAGGCACATACAGAATGTGGCGGGGTTAAACATTATTGTGAGCGCTCAACCCTCCCCCTAACCTGGGACAGTGGTGTAACAGTACAACATAAGAACAAACTATCAGTTGAAAAAGGCTTAACTAATCAGATGGATACAAATAGAAAAACATCTAATAAAAACAGAGTCGACGGGTACTTACACATCCCAAAAACAAAGAGATCTGAGAGTACTCGCAGTTACTGACAGCTAGTTCAAAGCCAATAACAACTAATGAAAAAAATCATGAATCTAAGACAAACATATCAATCAGTACACATCCAACATCCAATGGATTTAGTGTAAATACGTCATTAACAGTCAGAGAAAAACATGACCTGTTAAAGTTTGTATTTGCCATTACATAAACAATTTATTAAAAGTTATTGATTGCAAAGTCCAGCTTTAAGTGGTTAAAACATGTAGAATACTAAATGTAGCAGTACGTTTATGTTGTACTCTTAAGTACGCAGCATACTAAAACTTCTAGTTTTCATTTTGACAGTAATTTTGCATCCACGAAAAACAAGAGACAGTCTTCAAACCGCTACCTAGAAAATCTAAACACTACGCATGTACTTCGCCAAAAACCGGGGGTATTATATGTGTTTCAGAAGG